AAGTTCTAGAAGTTGAAAATTTGCCTTGACACTGTCTACTGAAATCAGTCCTACTTTTTTAAGGATGGGATAATTATCTATCTCCGCATTTTTAGAAGCTGGTTGGGAAAATGAAAGAAGTGGTAATCTCCAAGTCAACTGCTGTCAAAGATAAAGTTAGCGAACTTGTGACGCAGGCTGCTCCTACACATTCAATGGGCACGGAGGTGAAACATGTCGTATCTTCTGATCGCTACGGAAAAAGGTTGATTTTATTTGAAATTGATGCTGCTCTACATACCGTAACACTTCTGTAATTTTGACGGATTGCTTATATATGCCTCTGGTTTTGAATGGTAGATGTCACATAGGGTTACAGAATATTGAAACATCCATACATTTTTGAAGCTCTTTTATTTAAACAGATATCGCAACGAACCGTCGGTGTTTTCCATCGATGATGACTCAAGCGACGAGAGCGGTGGCACATTGTTCAACAAAACGAATAGGAAGGAAGAGGTATTGTATATTCTTTATATTTTTATAGATTACTCAACTTGTTATGAAAAGTTTTGCTTACACACATCAGCATCCTCACCTTGCACAAATGAGGCGCACTTTAATAAACACGAACGTGAAAATTGTTGCTGTATCGCGTTGGGCCTTGGGCATACCTCGCGCGATTTTGTTCGACTCGATTTGGTGGTCTTTTTACCTGCAACGCGCACGAACTGTGCAATACGCGCTTTATATAATGTGCACGTCAATTCGTCGCAAATCATATTCTTCTAACATATGCGCACCACTTGGGAACATTGGCCAAACTTTGTTTTTTCGCACAGAGGGACAAAACAATCGCATGACTTAGAAGATTTTTCAAACTTTCATACGTTTTCAATGTTTTTCTCTCTATATCTTTACAATAATAAATGTTTGGTCTACTATGTCACATTGTGACAAGCAAATCTCGCGATAGTGAATTCGTATGAGGTATGGCCTAGACCTAGAATGGCCGACTAGAACGTATCTCTCGGTTTTATTCGTTACCATATAGTGTTCTCATCTTGAGTCAGCCCCTGAAAAGGTGTTTCCGCACTGGAAGTGCATATATACCTCTCTGCATTTGAAGTTGTGAAAGCTTATTCATTTT